TATAACCTCAATATCATTTAGACAAAATGAGAATGGTTTTCTAAGGATACCTACACACGTTGACTGCACCGCCGAGTTGCCAATTGTGCACATATTTTACTAACTTCTTAAATCAAAAATAATTTGCTAAACATTTAGACGGCCAATGGCTAGTTTTAAATAACTACTTTCAAAGTTGTTCAACTTTTAAATTTATGAACGTTCAAAATTTACAAATTTAATAACCTTCATAGTTATTCTTCAAAATTAGTTGAAATATTCATAAACTGATTCTTAACTAAATAATATAATTACTTATGTGTGCGTCACCGTTTAGGGGACAAAAGTTGATAGAGCTTTGAATAATCGTAAAAAAGTTAAATAATAATAATGTAACAACTATAATAACTTTATTGCAACAATAAAATACAAAATATACGTTTTTTAAAATAATTAATTACAATATTGAAGCGCTCCCTTAAAGTAAAGCTTCTGCTGAAGGATCAATTGTACAAATATTACATAACGCCAATACACAATGTAAGACAATGCATATTTTTTTTAACAAGAATAATAATATTCATTATTATTACCTCGGATAAATCTAAGTATTTAATATATTTTTTAAACAATTTAAAATTTTTAAATTGATTAATATAGAAGCCTTTTTTGTCCAAAAACTTTTTGACAATTCAGTTAACGTTTATTAATTTTTTGTTTTATTTTGTATTTATTTTAAAATTTTTACGCCCACAGGGACAAGAGTACAGAAATAATAACTAAAAACGAATACAAAGAATGAATAAATAGCACAAACATAACAAAAATAATTCTTACAATTAATCCACCGCACGTATTTGCAACAAATTATTATTATCAGAAAAGAAATCAAAATTACATAGATCATTGCACGAACTTAGCATGCTATGAAAAGGGCTATTTCTAACAATATTGTTCGTATGGTGCTCTAAATAAAATGTCTTATGGTTTCGTGTGTTTACATTTGGCACTGTAAATTTATTTTTTTCCAATATTTCTGGCCAATCAACCATACCATTAAAAATAAATTAAACATCTATGAATTTACTTCATTAAGAGGAATTGTAATGAGTTTAATATTATGATTCCTCTTAATGAAGCCTAAATTCCTTTTTTCATTAACATTTTTAAGTTTATCTCATTATGGCCGAAATTTAGTATTTCTTCAATTAGAATTAAACTTTAAAGAATGGACTGTTAAATTATTTCTATGTAGTTCATTAGCAACGTGTAGTACATTATTGTGTGTATTAAATATTTAGTAATATTTCATAATATTGTGAAATAGCATGAACAAAATTAAAAATAAAAAAAAAGAAGAAGAAGAAAAACCACAGAATTGCAATTAGTCTGAAGATATATTTTGTGTGCTACGTTACATGTATTACTCTGTACATAGTATGAAAATGGCATAACGCCGTTTAGCTGCTACGAAAAATGATTGATTCCGCCTGTAAGCGTATAAAGCGGTTTTTTTGTGGCCCAAAAAAACATGTTGTTGGGAAACTTGTGTTTGATCGAGAGCAGCGCACACTATGACTTATGTATGCTCGTGCCTAAAAACCTGACATTGAACGCTGACTTATAAAGTGTAAAGTGAGCACTAGTTCCAAACCGTTAAATACCTAGCTAAAAGGTACTTTATTGGGCTGAACACTTAAAAAGTTCCAGCCTTCCCCTTGAAAACGTTGACAAACCAAAAAAAAATGAACCCTTTTATCTAAAGGGGGGGGGGGTGGAAACTTTTTCTTTATTTCGCTTTTTTTTAGGTGTAGTTTTAGGACTTAAGGTCAGAAAAGGACCGGAGGTTAATGATCTTTAGTCAAACTTTATTTTATTAAAAATAATCCTAACCAAGTCATCAGGTACCAAAAAAAAAAAAAAAAACAGTATTGATTAACAATTGATCAACCCTAATCACGTCCACCCTAATACTAAAAATACAGTTTTAAGAACGTTGTAATTGTCATTTCTGTTATATAGGTAGGTATGCATACGTTTTTTAAAAATATTTATTAGAAAAGTTTAGTATGTAAGCAGTACACGGTTGAAATACATTCGGTTGTTTTGTTCAAAGAGTCCACAAAATATATAAGTTGTGTACGAATCTTGAATATTATATGTCGGGACGTGTGCGAAGGGTAAGAATTGTTGGCTTAGGTGTGATTCTACGTTCGATTTTTTTCATATAGGCAAAAAAACCAAAACACATATTGTTGTTGTGCTCTTGATGATTCGTCATGATGTAAAGACAAACAATTCGATAAAAATATATACCTACCTACATGTTTTTCTCGAATGTCAAAAATTGTCCGAAAACATAAATTGTACCCAACAAAATATACATATTTCTGATTTCATAATGTAATGATTTTCAATTAGCAGAATGAGATTCTACTCGGGTAAGCCATTTCGGCAAAAAAAAACAAAATAAATATAGGTAACACTTTTACAAACATAAAAAATACATCATTGTTAAAAGTGAAACTTTTTCTCTAACCACAAAAATTGCAATAAATAAAAAACTAATATTATATTAGTTTTCGTATGTAGGTATCCCTAATTTTGCTATAACCCGTCTTTACTTCTTCATTTTAAACTAATAGGAACAGCCGGAGATCGTTTTTTTTTATAAACTAAATGTAAACGTTAAAATATTACTTTTAATTTTATTTCAGTTATTTTGTCAAGTAGATTTGGAGATTTATATCTTGACCATAACAAATAAATCAAACTACACTAATCTATCAAAATAGAGAACAATAGTTCTTTAAAAGAACAAAATGATTTGGTTGAGAAATCGAGCGGACAACAAAAACTATTTTATTTTTTCAATCTAGCTGTTTAATTTTAATATAATTCTGACCTATTTTAATAGCCAATTTTATATTAAAGAATGTTGTGGAAATATATATAATATTACTTAAAATCAAATGAACTGAGACTGCTGGTTAGTGCTGAACATAGCCCACATAGTCGTCAGAATAGAATTTTAATGGATGGAGTTTTGAGTAATAATATAAAAAAAGTTTAATTTTTAAGCACTATAAATTGATTACATATTAATATGTATTTTTATATTTTCAACTACATTTTAATAAATAAAATCGCTTCAATGGAAGTCTGACATTTTATCCAGACTTTTGTAGATTACCGACTGTATAACATGCGTTTCAAAGCTAATATAACAAAAAGAAAATGAGATTTAAAACGACTTTTCGATTTGAGATTTTAATTCATAATTATACCATTTCTGTATGAATAAATGACACTATATATGCTAATGAGACAACATAAAAGCATCATTCCTGTTATCGGGACTGAACATTTTTTTAGCGTTTAAAACATTAATTTTTTTTATGTATTTGACAACTTTTGACAAAAACATTATTTTACATTTTCTACGTCTGAGATATGCTCCAATAATTTTTGTTTGTGCACTGTTCAGGTTGTCTTGATAAACTTTCACAATACATATAAAATGAAAATACGTGTTACCCAGTAGTACCCACTGGATTAGTTTCAGTTTATGATTAGTTTCTATATTTTCTACGAATTTTTTTCCATATTTGATTATAGTTGCATTAAATTATTTTTTAGAACTGTTCTGACGACATGTTTATGTTATCAACTTATTTTTCAACAACTTTTCCTCACAGACAACTTTGCTGTTTGCACGTAACTCGATGGATATTTTATTAAAATAATTGGTAATAAAAAAAACCCAATATAAAAAATGTAGGTAATACAAAAACAAATATTATTCTAACATATTCTAGAATTATGTTTATCGATATCGTGTGCGGGAGTGTGCTGAAACAACATTGCCATACGTGCACAGTGCACACATAGTGTATTAGATAGGCGTTCGTACGAAATAAAAGCATCATACTTGAGTAAAAAATAAAATGCAAATCAATTTGTTAGGTCAGTATCGAGACTTAATCGCACGGTGTTTGACACAAGTAAACAGAAATGGAAGTAGCACTAGCATTGGCTAAAACAATCGTGTTTACCAAGTCTTATGACGGGGATGTACTACGGAGAGTAATTGGGAAAATTAATTCCAACGGTTAACAACTTAATAGAATCAAAATACGATTCTTTTGGGTTCAATTACAGCGAAAGAACACAAACCGACGGTTTCGGTATTTTTAACAAGTTTATAAAAAACATAACCGGTTCAAAAAACAACTTTTTTCATACAGAACTAATGAGGGTTAACTGTTAATCACATGACTTCCCCGAAGAAGAATATTTTTGCTTACATTACTGTGTAATGCCTTATACATTGCTTGCACTGGTAATGTGGAAGGCAAAGTTTTCTTAAACACTGCTACCGACGATATTTCTAATATTGTTTTCTTAATATGTGGTTTCTATATACTCGAGTGAGACTTCAAACTTTCTCCTGTGATAATTACGCCTAACAGGCGCTTGCTCGAGTATAATAGATTTAGCGATTTGTATGATAAATATTTTTTTAATTAGGTATACTTTGTTTTGTGTCATATACCTTGTGCTGGTCGGGTTAATCAAGCGTTCAAATTTTATTCGGATGTTTTGTACAAAAGTCACAAACTTTTGGTTGATTAGACGTTCAACGTTGTTATACTGTTGACTCTAGTAGGATTTCGGGTAGACGTTTCACCCGCATGGTCCTTAAAAAAACAAAAAAAAACGTACTCCACGTTAGTAAACAAACGAATCACACAGAAGTGTAATAATCGTGGGCTTATTTGTTTTGGGCCGTTCTCATTTGGCGGTCCAGACCATTATCGAGTAGAGTGTAAACACAAACGTCGGTTGAATATGTATTTGTATTTTGTATTTTTTTCACTCCGTCCAAGCTCATATTGTATAGGGGCTTTTAAATACAGGCACCCGGTCGCAGTGCGCCACCTAGCGTCCGCCGGGCAGCCCCATCCCCTACGAGAAGGGCGCGATACGGTTTGAGCTTTTTGCCACGCTCACAGTTATTTCGCGTACACAACCACCACAGGTCCACGTTCGCCATGGGAAACTTCCGAGTCCAGATGACTGCGATCGCCACCATCGTTGCAATTTTGGCAATGACTGACCCGGCCGTCTCCAGATCGGTGAGTATAAAAAAATTTGTCTATCCGAAAAGCCCTCCTTTAAATCGTACATTTCAAAAAAAAATTTTTTTAAAAAAATTGTATTTGAAAAAATCGTTTAAAAATACCGTTATCCGAATAATGGTCAAAACCCCCCACGTGTTTATTTTAGTTGTATTTTTGCATGTACTTTTATTTATAATTATTTGCCGGTATCGTTTCGATTGGAGTATAGGTTAAGTTAAGTATATTAATATAAAAATATATCAAAATTAGTAAAATGCTGCGCCCCCCCCCCCCCCCTCTTCACAATATACCCAATAGTTCACTCACTAGATGTACACGAAATAAAACTGGACTTCAAAATAACTGTTACTCATAGAAAAAAATGATTTAGATTGAAAATAATACTTTGAAGTTTATACAAATTAACCGGTAAATTAATTGGCATGGTCGAAATGTATTAAAACCACTATTTTCTTAAATATTGCCTATACAAAACTCCTTAAAAATAGACCGCATGCAATCATCTTAATAATAACAGAAGTATTTCCAAATAATATATAATAATATGTTCAGTGATTTGCAAAAATTGTATACAAATATAATAGTACGGAATTTTGAAGATTTGTGTTTCAAATTACTTATTTAGCCTTGAGGTATATAGGTTTAGGACAATTTAAAACGTTAACCTTTATTCGTCCAGGTTTAATTCTTATTTGTATTGTCTATTTTTCAATCGGAAAATAGTTAATATTACATACTTGATGTTTTATTCTTCGATATAAAAACGCAAATCATAAAAGCCACTATAGAGGTAGACCTAAACTTTATTGGAGTCTTAAAAGAAGGGGCGGGGTCACACTATTCTCTCCTACAGCTGGATAAAACAACGAAAACATTTATTTCAATATGTTAACTGGTAACAAAATTATCTGTTAACTCATTTTAGTTACGTCGCGTTTATTTTATCTACGAAGTTATTTAAATCCGAGTATACATAATGAGTGTAGTGCCGTGATTGACAACCCTAAAATATAATAACTATAATATTGTGTATAATATTACTATATGTGCCTTGTGACTTGTCTGTGAATAAAAATAGCCATCAGCGATAATTTTTGACAAGGATTTTCAGTTAATACTTGGATTCCCGACGTGTGTCCCCGTTACGGTTCATTCGAAGGAATATTCTGTTTTTGCCCAATCGAATGAATTTCATTCCAAATAAATTATTATTATTTTCGAGTTTGGTGCAAAGCGAAGAAACCCTTTAAAGAACTACACGATCATCGGCCGCATACAAGAACTTGAACAATTAAAACTTGACCTTAAGACAGATTCGGATCATGCACGAAAGACAACAGCTAGCTGTTTTCAAGACTTATTCCTTCAGCAGATTTATCATATTATATTAACGTCTTGGGATAGACCTTGTATCTACACTTTTCAGTACCAACGGACACATAATGTAATTCCGCAATATATAGTTCATTTGAAAAACAAAATAGTATTTGGGAATCCGCTTGAAAGTATTTATCAATTTGAAACAATACGTTCACCAGATAATATGACAATTAAAAGGAGAAACAACAAAATATTAATAACTTGTAGGAGATCCTAACTTACCATCACATTTATGTTTGCTTATGCTAAGCTCTTATGAACCCAACATGAAGGTTGAGGTCGGCTCTGAGTTGGACAAGAAACTCAATGTAGCAAATTAGAATACATCTACCATCGCCAAAGTTGAATTCAAGTTATTACTGAAGACTTCGGAAGGATCGGCTACGGCATCTGTAACAACATCGGTTTGGAGGAAGAAATACTGTATTTGATGTTGCAATGATTTTTTTATATTTGATTTTTCATGTACGACAGCTCAAAATATTTGATATTTATTGTAACAGGTTGATATTAAAACCTTACTAAAAGGTTGGTGTCTACCATTTAGAATTTAACCAGAAAATAAACCAGGATACCAAGATTAGTGGTGGGACTACATTTATTGATTCATAATCAAACTCCTCACAAACTCCTCCTCTTTTGTGTATTGTGGAAATTCGGTAAATCTAACTGTCAATAATGCCCTGTTAAGTTTGTCCCGCGCAAAGCCGTTTTAACGGAAAATAATTTAATTTTTCCCATAAAATCGACTGAGATAGTTGACAAAAAAAAAATAACAAACAATAAAGAATACTTGTCTTAACTGCCTAAACTTTACACCTTAATAAATGGGTATTGTGTCATCTTCATGGAAAACAATATTGTGTTTACAAAGAGAGAAACTATTAAATAATCAAATTTCTATTAAACTATACGTTAATCAATAAGTTCTATTGGTTTTATAACAAGATAAAGTTGGTGTATGCAATGTTCGATACATTTTTTTTCGTGTGTATTTTATTATTGTTTTGTTCGCAAGGAAAATATGTTATGACTTGTTCAGTTGACATTGTAATATTATATCTGATATAATATATAATATAATATAATATATTTGTATTTTTTTACCGATGAAACCAGAATATTGTATGCCCTCAAATTCGAATTTAAGTGTAGTTTAAAACTTACAGAATTGACTTTTTGTATGTACCTGAAACTTTTTTTACAAAAAAAAAAAACATGAAACGATACCGGCAAAATTATACCAACCGCCGACATTGGCAAGCTGACACTAAGGTTTGAAGGTGTCATTAGTTAAAATAAGGATTACAATCAAAAGGTTTTTGGTTGTTGTACCCCAGTCCTGTTGGATGGTTTTTCAGTGAAGTCTTTATCTGAGGTTTTCGCCGTAATTACTATGTACGTATATCGTTGGCTTTCTACAGATCATTTTTGCACATTTATTTCCCCGAGGATAGGTCCCGGTTGATGACGATCTCGGTTAAACAACCGTGTACAGAAATAATTAATCAAAGGTCCGTTTCACATGATATAGGATAGCTGGTTAGGTAAAGAGCGGTGTACACGACGTGTATTTATAATTATTTCCGGCTGATCCATTTGAAGTAGAGCACCCATATTCTCGGAAAACGATTATAATTTTGTAGTTTTCCTTTTGGAAACATTTTTTTGATTACGTTTTTTAGTATTTTCCAGAGTGCTATTAACTTTTGAAACTCAAATGGAAACGTACATATTTAATTAACTTTTTAAAATTAAAATATATTCCCGGGAATTTTTACTATTCGCGATAACCAGTTTTGAATAATTCATTTTAAATTTATTAGAGTTTTAAAATTTTAGGACGAGAGGTGGAGTATATGGTTGAGTAATGCGTTTTCTCTCGTCCTAAACATTAAACTTTTATATCTTTAAAGGTAGCTGTTCAAAACTAATGGTGAAATATTTTAAAAAAGGAAAACTACAAAATTGCAATTATATCACTCTGTACATCCCGAATTAGTATTGCTCTCTTCGCGAGATGGCAGTGACTAAAGTCTACTTAGTAGTTGCCGCTAATGGAATATTATACACTTCTCCAAACAAATCGCGTAAAAGCCATCACTTCTCCCTTACCTTGAGATAATGATAAAACAAATTACATACCTAGATAAAATCTTCTTCGCGTCTACCTTCTCTTGAAACTATTCTTAAAAAAATAGTGTGCAAAGTTAATATGAATGATTATGTAATAAGACCCGGGACTAAAATCAGTTTTAAAACACAATCCTTCTAACCAACAAACTTATGAATTATGGTTAAAACTACAGTTTGTCAAATTTAGAAGTAGGTAACCCGGCTACTACAACAATAAATTATCTAACACCTATATTTTTCCTTATCTTAGCGTGCCATTAAGTCCCAACTCTGTCTCTTTCCCTAAGTGGAAGTTTTTCAATTTTTTTAATTCATTTTCCCTGGAACGTGGAAGCTTATAAGGTAATAGGAAGTTCTGGATTGCTACCCGGTATACTACAGAAAGTCAATAGGACTACCACACAGATGCTGAGTGTCCATCGCCTAGGTATTACCCGGTCATAGACATTCAACCTCCGTGTGGCAGTCCTGTTGGCTTTCTGTAGTATACCGGGTAGCAAACTGGAACTTAAAATTATCTTTCAAACTTCCCAGTATTGTAAAACGCAGTTTAAAAGCACTTACAAAGCCAATATAAATCTAAATCTGGTTACAAAACATAAAATCAATTTAAAAATAAGATCAAATAATTGAATATTAATCCTTGATGTGTGATACTTTGTCTTTATTTTTTTCCCATCTTACCTTGTACAAGTGAACTCAGTCTTCCCTATTCTTCTCTTTTCTAAATTCTTACCACGAAAACATCTATTTTATTGCTGATTAGGAACCCACCAAATAAAATACACTCAGGTCACGTTCCTCGTTAGTTATATCATTCACAGTAAAAATAGGTAATGGGAGTCCTAGTAATGTTTCCAAGGGCATACCGAGGAAAAGCCTTACAGATTTTCCGGTGTTATTAGGGAATACAATAATAATAATTTTCTTTGTCTGTTTCCGTCTCGTGGTAAGACGGATGTTGGAAGGTTTGAATGAAAGTTTTTTCTTTGCACGGCTTCATAACATGAACAGAGCGGTTTTAGTTCTCTTTGGTTAACGAGGTTCACATGACTTTGCACACTATTGTACATACTGAAGTTGCAGTTTGTAAATAATGTACATTAATAACGCGGTCTCTGAAATAATGATGACTGTGCACTACTAATATACCTAATATATATTTATATACATACCTCCATACAATATAAATATTATGTAGAACGGCTCTGGATATAATGGTCTGTCGGAAAATTTGACATGCTAAGTACAATAATTTACGGCCAACGGTATACGCACCTAAAATGTATGGCGGAAATATAAAATGGGGGGGGGGGGGCGCAGTGGTTATCTCAGTTGTCACTTGATACCCGAGGTTAAGTTATGTTCATCGCTGTTTGATCCGGATGGGTGACTCCCCGAGAGGCCCATTCTATGTTTTTACACAAATTAAAACCAATCAACCGAACAAATTGAAATGCTTGAGTTGACAAAGTTAA